CTGTTTCCCATAGTGGTTGTACCAGTCTACATTCCCACCAACAGTGAGTGAGGGTTCCCTTTTTTCCACAACCTCTCCACCACTTGTTGCTTGTCTTGTTGATAATGGCCACTTTGATTGGTGTTAAGTGGTATCTCATAGTTTTAATTTGCATGTCCCTGATTGCCAATGAGGTTGAACATCTTTTCAAATACCTATTTGGTTGTTTGAATATCTTTTTGGAAGAGGTGTATTTTTAGATCCTCTGCTTACTTTTTGATTGGATTGTTTATTTGTTTGGTTTTTGAATACCAAGGAATAAACTTAACAAAAAAAATGTGAAAGGCCTATATATTAAAAATTACAAAACATTATTAAAAGAGATTGAAAAAGACACAACAGAGTGGAAAAATATCCTGTGTTGGGAGAATCAACATAGTTAAAATGGCCATTTCATCCACAGCAATCCCCATCAAAATCTCAAAGTCATTTTTAAAGAAATAGAACGAGAAATCATCAGATTTGTATGGCACCACAAAAGACCCAGAATGGATAAAATAGAACAATACTAGAGGTATCATGCTACCTGACTTCAAAATATACTACAGAGCTATCATCATCAAAACAGCGTGGTATTGACAGAGAAACAGGATACACAGATTAATGGAACAGAATAGAGAGCCCAGCTATAAAACCACATGTATATGGACAGAAATTTTTCGACAAAGGAGCCAGAAATGCACATTGGAGTAAAGATAATCTCTTCATAAATAGTGCTGGGAAAATTGGAAAGCCACATGCAAACGAATGAAATGGATTGCAGTTTGTTCCCACGTACAAAAATTAATTCAAAATGAATAAAAGATTTAGACATAAGACCTGAAACTATAAGTCACATAGAAAAAAATACAGGTACTGAACTTATGGAACTACGTTGTAGAGAACATTTTATGGACTTAACTCCAATAGCAAGGAAGGTAAAAGCAAAAATAAACGAATGGGACTATATCAAACTGAAGAGCTTCTGCACAGCAAAAGAGAGGCAACAAAACAAATAGGCAGCAGCCCAAACCTCAGTGGATAGAGTGTCGGCCTGTGGACTTAAACGTCCTGGGTTTGATTCTGGTCAAGGGCATGTACCTTGGTTGCGGGCACATCTCCAGTGTGCAGGAGGCAGTTGATCGATGTCTCTCTGTCATCGATGTTTCTAACTCTCTATCCCTCTCCCTTCCTCTCTGTAAAAAAATCAATAAAATATATTTAAAAAACAAAACAAAACAAAAAACAAAAACGAAAACAAAATAAGCAGGCAGCCAACCAGACAGGAGATGATATTTGCAAACAGTAGCTCTGATAAAGGCTTAATTTCCAAAATATATAAAGAACTTATACAACTTCAATGATCTTTTGAAGCCCCAATCTGCACACCTCATCCCTAGCTCAGGATGTCTTATATATCTCAATCCCTCTTTTGATCTCTGAACCTTTCTTGCATATGGGATCTCTGACTCTCATATGTATGGGTTCCCATACATATGTATATATTAAATTTGGTTATTTCTCTTGCAAAATAAAATGAGTAAGAAAGTGTTCTCTCCATATCTATATATCTATATTAATATATATCTGGTCCTCACCCAAGGAGTGAGGATATTTTTTCCATTGACTTTTAGACAGATTGGAAAGGAGGGGGGTGGAGGACACATACACATACAGAGAAAGGAGAGAGAGAGAGAAAGAGAGAGAAAGAGAGAAAGAGAGAGAAAGAGAGAGAGAAAGAGAGAGAGAGAGAGAGAGAGAGAGAGAGAGAGAGAGAGAGAGAGAGAGAGAGAGAAAGAACCTCAAAATGAACAAGAGTCTATAGGTACTATTATTATTATTAATATTTTTAATCCTCATCTGAGGATATGTTTTCCCATTGATTTCTAGAAAGAAGAAGAGAGAGAAAGAGAAACACTGATCTATTGCCTCCCCTAGGCGCCCCAACCAGGCATCAAATCTGAAACCTGGTTATGTGCCCTGACCGGAAATTAAACCCATCACCCTTCAGCTTATGGGACACTGCTCCACCCAACTGAACCACACTGGCCAGGGCTCAGTAGGTACTCTTATCATCATCACCATTTTACAGATGAGAGACTGAAGCCCAGAGGGACTGATATTTGTCCAGTCACTCAGCAGAGACCAGAGAAGCTGGATATGAACCCAGGCAGCCTGACTCTAAGCCTGCGCTCCTAAGCACTGGCATTTACTGAACTTACATAAGTATTTCCTTTGTCTTAAAAAAAAAAAATTTAAACAGGAAGCACCTTTTCTAACTTGTCCTTTAGGAACTAGTATGTTACAGGATCTGGATGACTGAGGGAATGCTTACCCAGGTTTCTGCTGGTTGATGTAGGTTCTGGTTCTGGTTCTGGCTCTGGTCAGCTGTGTGACCTTGGGCAAAGAATGTTCACCTCCCTGAGTCCCATGTTTCTCCTCTATAAAATGTTGAGGGGGATATTCTAGTTAATTTCCAAGGCCCTTTCCAGCTGTCACATTCCTCACGTCTATGATTCTGTGATTAAGTTCCTAGAAGGTTTAAGTACTGATAAAAGTGCCATTAAGTTCTGTATACTCAGCCCTGGCAGCCTGTTACCTAAGATACCTGGGGTGGGGGTGGGGGTGGGGGCTGGGGTGGGTGGAAGGGAAAGCCTTGTGCTTGGCAACTGCATGTTATGCTGCAGATGGTGACAGACCGTTCAGCCATGTGCAGTGTCGCTGAGTTTCCTCTGATTTCTGGACCGTGCTGTATCGCTGCCGACCATCAAAAAAGGTTTCCTAACAAGGGAAACTTGTGCAGTAAGCCCCCCAGGCGAGTAACTGGAGATAACTGAGATGGGATTGAATGGGTCTCAGGCAGAGAACTTTGAAGGACAGACCTGTTTGGGCGATGATCTGGTTGACCCAAGACCTCTCTGTCTATCATTCCTTGACCTCAGGTCAGAGTGATAGAAAGCGGGGAAGCTGCAAAGGCAGTTGGGGATGCTCCTGCCTTGCAGTCTCGGAGAAGAATAAGTGACTGTTTGTCCCACTTGGGTTAGTTGTTCACCTGCCTGAAGGCAGAAGCCTGGGAGTCTATGACCTGCTGGGACTTGGTTCGGGCTTGAAGTCCTTGCTTTCAAGGAGGTGACTGCTCCTAATCAATAAAGAAAGTTAAAAATAAAAACTAAGGCCGGGTGCTTAGAGGCTATTGTTGCAGCAGTAACAAACAGCCACCTCCACCGTGTGCTTGTTATATGCCAGGCTGTATCCAAGGACGTTTAGTCCATCATGACAAAGAGACTCATCGTCTGCACGACTGCAGGCAAGCCGCTTATTTTCCCTTTTGCATTTCAAATTTCCAAAACTGTAATATGAAGATGACCTATGTACAAGGGCAAGGTGGTATATAACAGTGGTCGGCAAACTCATCAGTCAACAGAGCTAATATCAACAGTACGATTGAAATTTCTTTTGAGAGCCTAATTTTTTAAACTTAAACTTCTTCTAACGCCACTTCTTCAGAACAGACTTGCCCAGGCTGTGGTATTTTGTGGAAGAGCCATACTCAAGGGGCCAAAGAGCCGCATATGGCTCGAGAGCTACAGTTTGCTGACCATGGGTATATAATGTCACACCTTTGTGTCAATGGAAGACTAAGGAGCAAATGTACACAAAGCACTAGGCAAACAGAAGGTATTCAGTAAGTGGTCCATAGACTGTGGGCTTCAGTGACCTACTAGGGCAAGATTGACTGGTGTCTCCGTGACTCTTGCACCCTCGGAGTCTAGATCTGGGCCTGGAAAACAGCAGGTACTCACCACTTTGTAGGATCAAGGGGCCCCTGCACAGGAAAAGGCAAACTGTCATGAATATGTATGCATCACAAAATTTGTAAAGCTAAACCGAGAGAAACAGACAAAAAACATACTGTGAGTAGGAGACTTCCGTGTCCCTCTTGGCCCATGGCAGAGCAGCTGGGCCAAAAAACTATGCAAAGATGCAGAGAGGCCTAAACACCGTAACAAATGTAAAAAGGATCAAAGGGAAACAGTCCTCTATCTTCATTTTCTGAAAAACATACCTTCTTTCTGGAGACCATGGGACCCTGACAACAACTGACCACAGAGAAATCCTCAATAAATCTCCAAAGGGAAGCAATGAAACTAGAAAATGAAAGACAAAATGGGAAAATATAAATCACCTGGGGTACAAGAGGCAATCCAAACGGAGACTGTACGATCTCAATAAATATTCCATTACCTAAGGGTCACAGGGCTGACAGTGGCAGAGCTGAGACTGCCTGAATCTGGGCCTCCTAACCAAGCCACGAACTGGTTTGCGACCCCGGATGAATCACCATGGGCCTCAGTTTCCCCTTTGATCACAAATCGCCTCTAGGGCCCACCGGTTTGAGGCGAGGTGGGGGAGGGGAGGTGGGCCTGCGGGATGCGCTGGAGCGACAACTTTCGGGGCAGCCGCAGGGTGCGGGTGTTGCCAGGCGGCAGCAGAGGGCGCTGGGTGGACGGCCTGGGCCCGCGCCTGCCATTGGTCCGGACTCGGGCTGCAGAGTTGGTGGAAAGTGACAAGTTGAGGGAGGCTGAGAGCCAGAGAGCGAGCGCGAGGAGCAGCAGGAGGAGCCGCCGCCGCGGCCACGGAGGGAGGGAGCCCGGGGACCGCAGCCGTGTGCGCGGGGCTTGCTCATCTGAGTCCTCGCAGGGCAGACTCGGCCTCCGCCGGGGAGACGCGGACCGTCCAGGACTGACCGGCCGGCCGCGGCGGGGCTGCAGCCGGAGAGCTGGGGAGGGACCGCGCTTTTGGGGTCCAGAGGCTGCAGGGCGGAGGCGGCGGCGAGGGAGCAGGTTCGAGGGACAAAGAACTTTGCCGACGGGACCCCCCCGACATCCTGCGTGGAGAGCAGCCGGGACGAGGTGGCCGGGACCCCGGGCAGAGCCCGTGGATGTTCTGCGCGCGGCCAGGGAGCCGCCAGAGGAGGAGGAATGCACCGGCCGCGCCGCCGCGGGGCGCGCCCGCCGCTCCCGGCGCTGCTGCTGGCCGCGCTGCTGCTGGCGGCGCGCGGGGCCGCTGCCCAAGGTAAGAGGCGCGTCCCCCCGGCCCCGAGCCCGCCCGGCCCGCGGCCACCCTCCCTCCCGGCCGCCCTGCCCGGCGCTGGGCGCACAGGGAGAGCTGAGCCCACCTCGGGGCGGCCGCGACCCGTCCTGGGTCCCGCCAATGCGACCCCAGGCGCCGGGGAGGCAGGCAAAGCTTTGGCCCGGGGACCCGCTGCGGGGTGCGCCCCCCGGGCACCCCTTCCTCGGCGCCCCGCAGTGGTTGTCAGCGCTGACAGCGTGGAGGGGTTGGGGTGAATGGGGCACTTCCGTGCTGCTGGTGCCCCCCATCTCTAGCCAGACCTTTAGGGGTGTTCAGGCAAGTCTGCCCCCCGAAAGAGCAGCCGTCCCGGAAGGCGCGGTCCAGGAGGGAGTTGGTTTTGTTTGTTTTTTTTGTTTTGTTTTGTTTTTTGTTTTTGAATTTTCGGTGGCTCCTGCGAGAGCTCAGGCTGTCCGCAGACCGATCCGAACAAAAGCCCGGTCCTTGTGGGACTCGGGAGGCCTCGTCTCTCCATCGCCCTCGGCTTTCCAGCCTTCTGGAGGGTCACCGGGGAGGCCACTTTGTGCAAAATGTGCTGTCAGAGGCGGCCTAGGAGTGTGCACGTGGGGTGTGTGTGTGAGTGTGTGTGTGTGTGTGTGTGTGTGTGTGTGTGAGAGAGAGAGAGAGAGAGAGAGAGAGAGAGAGAGAGAGAGAGAGAGAGAGAGAGAGAGAAACAAGGGAGAAAAGCCATCTAATGCATACTTGATTTTGGTAATCTCCGAAGACAATTGCAACAGTTAAGAGAAAGGCTCCGCTCGAAAGCCGGAGCGTCTCAGCTCGCTGCGGGAAGCCGGGATCCTCGCTGCGTGCGAGCCGGCACACAATGAGGGGGAAGAGCCCGGCTGCGCCTGCGGAGACAACCGGTTCATTCTTTTGGAGGTTGGAGGGGGAAAGTTGATTAAAGTCCCCGGGGCCTTTGGGCCTCACTTTTAACATGCATCCCTTGAGGGGGGTTGCCGGAGCCCCCCGGATTCTTTTCTCCAACCCATAAGTATAGTCTCTTGCCCTTTTATCATGCATCTTTCATTTCAGTTAGGCTGTGTTTAGGAAAAGAAAAGGCTGTTTTGCAGTTGAGGAGAGGGGGAAAGATCTATTCACTACATAGGCTGCAACTTCAGAATTCACTTTTTTTTTTCCTTTTTCTTTTTTCCTAACACTCAGCTAATAATCTTCATGGTAGAAGACACTCTGGAAGGAAGCTCAGTGTGCGCGCATTTTGATTTCTAGAGATGTTTTTGGGGAAGTGGGGACCACATTTTCTGAGGATGATTGAACCCTATCTTGAAGTTGTGCTATTTGGGGCGTTGCTGTGGGACGAGTGAAAAGAGCTTCTAATTGTCATTAAGTACGTATCAGCTGGGAGTGCACCTTTGCGGTGAAAATCCTAATGAAACGTAAACAGTCTGGTCACATGGGTGTTTGCCTCTATGATGCCTAACATCTGGCCCCAGCACCTGAGTGAGAACGGGCCACACTGCTAAACCGTGTAAACATCCTGCGGCTGTCAGGTTGCCTAGCATAGGGAGGTGGAGATGACCAGGTGATTCTCGCTAAGATAGGGCTCCTGGTTTGGGGCCTCCATGAATCCGGTTCCATCCTCTGACTCCTGGTTGATTTTAGGTTATGGGGGATGGGGAGCGCACCATGCAGTGGGCATTTGCTGAGGGAAAGGCAATTTGGTTTTTAGCCGTCACCCAAATTTTGTCTTGTTTAACTGTCGATAGGCTTTTACAGTTCCAAACTCTTCAATAATGAGCTTAAATCTGTTATTATCGTCTAATTTGTTGTCTTAGAAATCTCTTTCCATGTCTGTGCATATTTTATCTTTTCGCTAGGGACAAAGCTTTTAGAATCTAGAGGAAGGCAGATTCACTTTCTTGTCTGACCCAAGATTCCTAAGGTAACTCAGACAGTGGCTTAGGATCAGCTTAAAGAGGGGATATGTTTCATTTATTTATTAAAAAAAAACACCAACTCCGGGTTTCTTCTATTACTTTGCTATCGTATTAGCCAGGAGGAGAAAAACCTTTACATTTATTTTTTTTTTTGGTGTGTGCATTGTTTTCATCCACCATCTATATACCTACCCAGAGCTACACCTCTCCAGGAAATTGAAGCCTTTATAACTTCACCCGGAGTACAGGGTTTTTGGAACCTGTCTGGGGCTTTCTCAAAAACCCCTGGATTCTGCGGTTTGGCTCCTTGGAGTCAGAGGGAGGTGGCCCGCTACTGTGTTTGCTGTCATTTGTAAACCTTCCAGTGCCATTTGCATAGGTGTCTGACCTGTCTACCTTCACAACAGGAGTCTCTTGAGGGCAGTAACACTGAGGGCCAAGTCAGCCAGCCCAACTTTATGGGAGACTCCTGCAAACATTCCCCGGACAAAGCCACGCAGAGGCCCTAGAGACAAAGGGTTGGTGTGCAGAAAATGTTTAATTTCTAATATCGCTTCCACATACTTGGTAAGCTGTTTGCCACCTTGATGCCCCGGATCAATTTTTTGATATGCACTTAGAAATCCTTTAAAAACTCAACTTTAGCCTATATTTTCCTTTCCATCTCCTGCCTGGTAAGCATAGGCTTCAAATTAGACTTGAAAGAAAATTAGTTTAATGGAGTGTCAGTTGCATCCATTAGTATCCAATTTGGCTGTGGTTAGATGGTGACCACATACCCCGTTTCAAATATTCCTGAAAATTTTACGCAGCATCCTATGGAGAATGGAAAGCTCTCTAGATTACATGTATATTAATGTAAATGTATATCTACATGTAAATGGCATAAGTGTACATAGGTATACTAGTATAGTATGTGGTCCACATATTTTTGTTGAATGAATGGAGGATAACTTTTTTGGTCATATGTAAACTTTTTCCTAGTAATGCAACATGGGATATTTTCAAGGGCTTTTCCTTTCCTTACTCCATTTTCTAGCATGAAGGGGTGCAGTAGGAGTTAACAATAGAGCTTAATGGCTATGAGCACAGTCATTGGTATGTAACAGGGCATATCGATTAGTTTTTCTGAGCCTTATCAGCATGTTAAGTGGAACCACGTATAGGATCTTAACTTGGGCTACCTGACATTGAGGACATTCGGACCCCCAGAATGAATATACAACAATTTTATGTGCGTTTTTGTGGTTTTTCTGTTTTTAGCTATAATTTGGTTTTCTGAGAAAATCACAACCCCCAAAGATAGGAACCATTTATTTATTTATTTTTAAAAATATATTTTATTTATTTTTTACAGAGAGGAAAGGAGAGAGATACAGAGTAGAGAGTTAGAAACATTGATGAGAGTCATTGATCAGCTGCCTCTTGCACGCCCCCTACTGGGGATGTGCCCGCAACCAAGGTACATGCCCTTGACCGGAATCGAACCCGGGACCTTTCAGTCCGCATGCCGATGCTCTATCCACTGAGCCAAACCAGTTTCGGCTAGGAACCATTTATTGAGTTGGTGCGTTTGATGCCTGCCTGGAGCCATGAGTTGCCTTCCTGGTTAGGTGTCAAGAGGTTTAGGGCTGGTGATGTGTCCCGGGCCTTAGCGCAGATCTACGCAATCCGTGCAATCTCTACCTCTCCTCACTTTCCAGTTTCTCTCCCACTAGGCTGGCTGCTATTGGGCCTGGGGAAAGCTGAAGAACACTGCCAAGTCCTTTGACCTCAACTAAGAATGTAATTCCCTAAACCCAAGCATTCTGAGATGCTTCTGTTACTACAGTTTATTTAACAAACACTTGTGTTCCGGCCAGTCGCCATGCTGAGCATTTTGCAAGTTTTAATTCATTGAATCTTCACAACCCTTCTAGGGAGATAGCATAAATATCTCATTTAAATGTAGGCACAGAGCCGAAGCCGGTTTGGCTCAGTGGTAGAGCGTCGGTCTGTGGACTGAAGGGTCCCGGGTTCGATTCCGGTCAAGGGCATGTACGTTGGCTGCAGGCACATCCCCAGTAGGGGGTGTGCAAGAGGCAGCTGGTCGATGTTTCTCTCTCATCGACGTTTCTAGCTCTCTCTCTCTCTCTCTCCCTTCCTCTCTGTAAAAAATCAATAAAATATATTTTTTTAAAAATGTAGGCACAGAGAAGTTAAGTTACAAGAGGAAATGGCTTTGTTGGGCTTACAGACCCTGAGAGGTCCTGGCTTTGGTCATAACTGCTGCCCTAGACAGTCTCTTCTGGGTTCAGCCTTACATTTTACAATCTCATTATGAATGGGCCTAAGGTTCCCTGTCTCCGGGTTTTCCAAGAGCAGCAAAGGAACATTTTCTTAGCCACATCTAGGGTTGACAACAAATGGTCGGAGATAGCCAGTTTCCATTGTCTTTCCTGTGCTGGGGTTCCCTGAGCCAGCGTTGCTGTAACTCAGAGATGGGGCCGAAGGGTCCCCCAATGGTCTTCACTCTGATCAGGAGGAATTACATTGTTGTCATGAATTGCAGTTATAATAAGCCTGGAGGAGTGTGTCTGGGCGTTCTTTCCAGCCAGCGATGAGATACAGTTTGATGAAGTGACTTTGCATTTGCATCGTGGCCGTGGACAGAGCCGGGGTGATTTATTGGAGAGCTCTCTGGTGGGAGAACTAGCTGCCAGCTCCTCAGCCCCGACGCGGACCAGACCCTGGCAAACGCAGCCCCAGCTGGGAAACGCTGCAGCCTCCGAGGCCTTGTTCTCAAACAGAAGGGCCTCAGCTTGGCCTTACCTATTCCCCGAGGGGTGACAGGAGAGACTGCTCTGCAGACGCACGCAGAGAAAGAAATAGTCTTCTTGGAGTCTGAGAAAGTTCCCTGGCGTGGAGGGGGAGGGGATGGCGGGAGTGGTGGTGGGGGGGAACGCTTCGAAATCCTTAACTAAATGCAGCTGCTTGTTACATGGAGCCCGACTCGCATGCCAGGAATATCTAAAAAGCTAACGAATACAAAATACAAATAAACAGCAGTAA